ATATATTTATATCTATATAATGTTACTACGATACTAGTAACATTCCGCTGTGCCGAGTCTAAGCAGTCGCCATCGCCACTACCGAAGCACCGCCGGCGTCAGCAACAATTGTAGAATAGCCGGCACACGATCGTCAAGGACGTCTTGCGCAAGTCGGCGCAACTCTTGACGACAGAGCGGCCCGCCAGCGCAGAGCTTGGTTTTTCTGACGCGAACGGCGGTACCGACCCGACAGACTCGCAACTGTTTCCCGCCTCCTTTGCATGAACGTGCAATGCCGTGCCTCTGTCTCACTGTCTGTCTGTACATGTGTCTATGTATAAAATGCAATGCGACTTATAAGCTCAATGTGAGAGCCAATGATATATTTGTAGAAGTGTCTCAACTCCAACGTCTGTTACTGTTGTCTCTAGGCAACAACTGAGACGCCGTACCGTACTACGTAATGTCTGATATCTATGCCAGAGGTAATTGTCTGTTGGGAAACAATCGTGGCTAAGAAGGAATTGCGGCAGTGAAGTAGATGGATACAACAGTCGACGCCAACCGTCTGCCTGAACCAATGGTAGCGGTAAGTGACGTTACCAATGCTGACATCCTGCTCCGCGACTGAGTACGGTCTGAACAGTCACTGACTGCACTGTCAGACACACAGTAAGCTATGCACCATCTGCTAAGGATGCGCGAAAACACTTCTACGGACATCGTCAGATCCATGTACGCACGAGGCGATGGATAGGAATTGATAAATTGTTTGATTCGATGCCAAAACGTTGTGTGTCAGACTGTCACTAATAAACTCGCACCTGACCCTTCTCCAGGTTGTTCTGAACGCGTAAAATCAAAGTCATAGTAATGATATATAAAGAGGCATATCATGCAAATGACCCATTATAAACTGTATAATTTATACGCTGGCAAAAAGATACGTTTACGTTATACTAATTGCAGTACCAGTTTAACTATTCGGGCGTATGCTCGAATACAGGTGCAAATCAATAAACGTAGACGCTTTATGCCGGGTATTCATTTCGGTACTGACGGGATCGTGCTTAAATTTCGACTGTGACGTCAACACGGAAGCAGCAAGGCGGCCCTATGTATCATATAACATTAGTATACATCTGTTATAATCCTCTATGAGTTACAAGATTGTCCTAGGATGCTACCGGGTTAGTAAAGCAAAGTAAGAAGACCCGGTTCCACCAGTCGTCGAGGTCACATTTACCAGTACATACAGTCAGTCGTGCATTTATATCAATCTAACGTATGTGTCGCGCTGGATCCGTCTGGGACAGTCAGTAATGTTCTCGTACATGCATTTGGCAAGGCCAACCAATTTAATCGAGGCAGTCAGCGCGACGGCGTTGGTGTCGCTCTCGAAGTACTGTTACATCGACGCCGACTATTACCACAACTGTTACTTCTACAGTCATTGCAACTGTCGCTGTCGCCCCTGCGC